TGTGTGTGTGTGTGTGTGTGTGTGTGTGCGTGTGTGTGTGCATACACCAGTTGTTCTCAACCTTGGCAAGTTTAAGATGGGTGGACTTCAACTCCCAGAATTCCCCAGCCGGCCATGCAAGTGTTGAGAAACACTGGTAGACACACACACACACACATGCGTATAAACATATATAATATGCAACCTGTAAAACATTCTATGCTATCTCAGTTATTTAAATAAATTGTACTGTCAAATCCTAAGTTTGCTTTTACTTCTGAAAGCCCCTTCTGCTCCTTCTTCATGCTTTCAATAAAATAATGCCCATAAATGTCATCATAACCTTTTCCTCATGCAATTTTCCTCATTCCTCATTCCTCTGCCAGAAAACAGCCTATGATGAAAATCTGGCTTGCAGGCTTCAGGGACCAAGCCCTCATTCCCCAGCCTTCATCCTTTCAGCTCAGGAAGTATTCCAGGTACAGCCTTCCTTTCCCACACACGTGTGTCTCATATGTACATATGTTCAATAGAATGTAAAACCTGAAATTCAACTTTTGGCCATTAAAATGACGTTGGGTATTTCTTATGTTAAAACATGCTGTGATCATGCTTGACTGTTCACGGAAGTGTTTTAAAAGCAGCCAAAGATGTTAATTACAAGAAATCAGTGCTTCAAAGCACAGGGGTTGTATAAACTACTGTATAAGGAAGGTCCAGCTTCTAAAAACCTGTTGGAACGCGGTTTTGTTTGTTTGTATGATCAATAGCTTCTTGTTCTGACCAGAGGGGTTCAAGCAGCTTATGAGTTCATTGTTGTTTATTTATAAAGATTCACAATCCATTGCATTCCAAAGTAAGTAATTTCCACATTTTATTGTGATGCATTTTCAGTTTACAGGTTTTCCATTTATAGATGAGGGCACTGAGACTAAGAATCCCCACCCTGAGACAATTCATGTTGACATTTTCTGTAGTGCAAACATTTCCTAATTCCATGGCAAAATCGATATATTACAGAAATCATTCTATGAGCATTTTAATTGCCCAGGTTTCTTGCGTGTTGCAAGGTAGCATTCTAATGTACAGCCATGTGCTGTCATGTATGTCATTCTGTTTCCATTATTCTCAAGTCTTTACAGTACTGGAACTAAAACACATAAAGTCAGGGGTGTCTAGAGGATATGACAAAAAAAAGTGAGGATGGTGCCACAATGGTGTGATCAAACCTCTGCCTGTTTTTTCTGTGCATTGCATGTGTAATATACATAAAACCCAAGTGGAGCTTTGATCACACTGCTGTGACTGCTATATTGACTTTTTTGACCATACCAAACAGACACCCCTGCATAAAGTCATAAAGAATGACTAGGCTCCAAAACTGTTGGCTAAGCGGGGATATGGAGACCAGATTTCTAAGAGATCCAGGGCAACCCTGGTTCAGACTGGCACTAGGTTTAAGGATATTGGAGGTTTATCTCAAAAGGCAATATCTATAGTAATGTTTTCAATAACTCTAATAATGTTTTACTGGTTTTGCTCAAAATTGTTACTATGGATAAATATATTTTCTGGCAGAGAGAAGCAATTTTGCTTTTCTACTTTTAAAGGCATTTTGTAACAACAATGAGAAGCAACTAACTGAGATATGAGTTTGGCCCATTTTGTAAAGTAATTTGCTGAGGCATCCTTTGTGCAAGACAAAATTAAACAAGGTGAAATCTTATAAGCCTGGAGTTTGCCTGCCAACTGGGGAGCAGCCATGGAGCAGAGCTAACCTAATAATCTTGAAAGTAACAGGACTCCCACCTAGCAGCTGTCCTCCTGGCTGTATTTTTCACAGTTGTGTCAACTTACGGGTGCTGTTCCTTTTAAAAGGCTACTTAGCAGTCAGAATAGGGAGACCTGGAAGTCAGCCTCTCCCACAGTTGTGAAGAAGGCAAACCTGGACAGCACCAGAAAGCAGAATGTAAACTTTTTCTCCAGGATCTCTTTCCCATCAGAACTGCCCCATCTCCCATCCCAAAGTGTCCTTTTAGATGGGTGAAGTGTACAAGGCTGGTATGAGTAACTTTGCTCATGCCCCCTCTCCATTCCTGGGCTAGTCTCTCCCTTGCCCAAAGAGCAACCAAGAGAAGAGGCAAAAAATGGAAGGTTGAGAAGGGCAAACACATCCCATGTTATCAGGATGGGTATGTGAGGATAAATGTGGACTGTCTGAAGAGAGTGATTAAGGGGTGAAAATATTGGATGGGGTGGACATGCCCTATGATTTCCCCTATCAGGCAAGTAGCATTTTGGGAGGGGGAGAGTGGTTTCAATTAAGAAAACTTCATGGGGAAAGTTGAACATTGTTCTCCTTGTTCCAAGATCTTGATTAAGTTAGTATGTAGGGTGGGGGCTACAACTGTTATATATACAGTGGGGAGATTCCCAGTAAGGATGTCTTACATTTTCGGTGCAAGATGTGCCTCAGGCTATCTGAACTTCATCCTGCTGACATTATTATCCACACAGCGGAAGAGGAAGCAGACATCTACATTCACTTTTGTTGGGCATGTACACATTTATGTTCACTTTTTCTTTTATATTAGTTCTTGAAATATTTGTTAGGCTCCAGTGAGATATGTAGACTTGACTGAGCTATTGTTTTGCAGGAATATAAAATTTCCAACTTTGAGCAGAGATTGATGAATGAAATAGAGTTTCGGCTTGAACGTACCCCAGTGGATGAATCAGATGATGAAATCCAACATGATGAGATCCCTATGGGGAAGTGCATTGCTCCAATTTTTGACAGGAGACTCAAGCATTTCCGTGTCCTGGAAGGATATCCAGCTACTTTCACTTGCAAAATTGTTGGAATCCCCGTACCCAAGGTAAGGCATCAGAACACTAATACTTCTCAGCAATTTCTCATGTCAATTGCTTTGATCTATTCCTACAAGAAGAACTTTGCTGCCATGACATTTATGCTTGCAGAAAGCAAAGGAAGCTCGCTATGAATCCTCCCCCCACAAAAATCTACTTTGGAGGGTTGGGGGCCATATAGATGAGCAGGGCAGATGACACCAGAAGACTTAAGAAGCAGAAGTTGCTGTTCATTGCTGGATCAGAGTCATTTATGTGAACAGAAACAGATTTTGTTGGCAGAAAGGCAATCTATGCCCATGACTATAAATATTATTTTCAAAGGATACAGTGCTGCAGAAACCATGACAATTTCTAATTCCTTTTAAATGATAAGATCCTGCCTCTTAGGTTGAACTATTGTGTTTTAGGGTAGCTAATACAAATTGGCTTCTGTGTTTCACTTCCACTTCATTTTTGCGCTTCATAGAAGAACAGGAAGCACATCACAGTGTGTAGATCCTTCTTTTCCTTAATTGTACACCAGAAGAAATATGATGTTCAAGGAAAGCATATGACTGGAGCCATTGCCCAGATATGCGATGGGGAACCCTTTCCCAACTTAGTGCCATTCCAACTCCCATTATCTCCCTATGGGGATGGCTTTTGTCTATGGTTTCTGTGGATCATAGGATCCAAAATCTAACACACTTGGAGGTCACCAAGATGGTAAGAGGAACCTCAGGAATTCTTTTTACTCAGTAATTATGATAACAGGGAGTGCCCACTATTCAGCTGCCCAACCCTCCAGAGAGTTGCAGGAGCCCACTCAGTGACTGGTGACATCATCAGAATGGACAATCTTCTGGAAAACATTGCTTTTTCCCACCAGGATTTACAGATGGGAACGGGAGAAGAAGATGTCTGAGAGGCCAACTTTTTCCACCCATCCCAAACACTGGATCAAGGAGATTGGGGAGCTCTGGGGGGGCCCCACAAATTGTGGGATCATATATACATATGGTTTATGGACTGCATTGGCCCTTGGTTTCAGAGAATGGTGTCTAGCTGTCATGCAACTAATTTATTCCAAAATTTAAACTTGAACTGGGAATCTATTTGCTGTAGTGTTCAGTTTCATGCAATCCTTTTACTCTGAAATAAATAATCCCAATGAATTCAATGAGATTTTCTTCTAAGCCAATGTGCATAGGATTACAGCCTTAAATACAATGCTACAATAGATCTTTCTTTAAAAATCCATCAGGTATACTGGTTTAAGGATGGCAAACAGATTTCAAAGAAGAATGAGCATTTCAAGATGATTCGAGAGGCTGATGGAACATGTTCTTTACATATTGAGACTACTACAAATGATGATGATGGAAACTATACGTTCATGGCTGCAAATCCACAGGTACAAATTCCTATACATATTGCTTAAGCTTAAAAGATATGAGGAGAAGCATACATTTTTGAAGGTCCATTTTGATGATTGATTGATTGATTGATAAGTGTTATCAGTTGAAGTTCACTCTTAGCAACAATGGCAATAACCATTGTTGTCTTATTTCTAAAAATCAGCCTTAAATGAGGTCTAGCAATGAAGACTGAAACATGCATGGTAAATGAGCCAATAATGTTTCTTTTCTCTTACGTGTTCTGGCAGGGGAGAATCAGCTGCTCTGGTCGTTTGATGGTTCAGACTCCTCCACTGCGTGGTAGATTATCAACAACTATTCAGTCTCACAGGTAAAAAATAAAACATAAAATAAAAAGGACATCTGATGCTAAAGTATAGAAATCCTTAATTTCTAAACAGTGAAATGCAGGAAACCATGCTTTCTAATCCAAAAGCACTTCTTCCTGCCAAGCCTATCCAATATTCTGATGTGTTGGAATTGCAGGGGAAGGTCCCGTATACCAGAAAGAGATCGGGAACCTGTACAGGAACGTTTTTTCCGGCCATATTTCCTGCAGGCACCTGGGGACATGGTAGCCCATGAAGAGCGGCTTTGTAGACTGGATTGCAAGGTATTGGGGTCAGGGCACTTTCTTGATTTACCCTGTTGCATTATTATTTGCGGTACTATTTGCTCATATTCTCTAAGAACACAAGCACAACCAGGGAGCTTTCATTTGAGACAAGTTAAGGAAAGCGACTGGTGGATTCCCCTGGCTTTACAGCAAATGTCAGTCACCGGCATGAAGAACATCCATCAGTTGCTCTCATTAACGTGAGTTCAGGCTGTGGCACAAGCTGCGATGATGCATATGCTTATTTTTATTTTAAAGCTTTAATATAGAAGGATATGTTCTTTGTCATTCAGCTCACACATCACAGGGAGTGGGCTTGGGGTTTGTTTGGTGCATTTTTGTTTGAACCCAACTATTGTGTTGAATAAACCATGGTTAATTTAGGCTTATTCAACCAACTCTGGCTTACCATAGTCCTTGAGCCAGCCCTATAACATGATTTCTTTTCCCTGGTTTCCACACACCCCTTGTTCTACAAGGACAATGGATTTTAAAAGATGCAACCGATAGGAAAACGCCATGTGACTGCATCACTTGCTTACTGCTGTTTTCTCATCTGTTAGGTGAGTGGATTACCACCACCAGATCTGATGTGGCTTCTGAATGGCAAGCCTGTGTTGCCAGATGCCACTCACAAAATGCTGGTCAGAGAAAACGGAGTACACTCTTTACTTATTGATCCTCTCAGACAAAGCGATGCAGGAATCTACACCTGCATAGCCTCCAACAAAACAGGACAAAATTCATTCAGTTTGGAACTGAGTGTTGTAGGTAAGTCTTTATTAGGTGTTCTTCTCCACCACCCTGAGCATCAGACCCTTTGTGTATTTTACTAACTAGAATCCCCCATGACTGAAAATTGGATCATATGAAAATGTTCATTATCTCAGTTGATTGTGTACCACGAATGGGGAACTTGTTGGACTTCAAAACCCAGAGCTTCTCCACAGTGGGTTGGATGGCATTGAGAGTGGGCCAAAACTCAAGCCCTGATGTCCTCCAGCTCTGGGGAGAACAATTGTTAAGGTGGCCAAAACATCTGGAGTACTGATATAAGAAGTTTACAGAGCTCCACATCTTTCCCAGGTAGAAAATACACAGCCTCTGACTAATGCAGGAGTGTAGAGGAAGGGGTCACGGAAGAAAAAAAGTTCCTCAGATCTGGGAAAGAAGAAAGCATGAGAAAGAGACTCAGAACAGCCCTGCCTTGGCTCTGTGGTCCTAAAAATGGGGCAGTGATGGTTTTGGATAGGCTTTCAAGATTCCGTTTAATATACCCTTGTAACAATAAAGTCGCATTCCTGTTGTCTGTTTCTCGACCTGGCCTACCTTGATGGGCTGACAAGGAGATAGGACTCTAGCAGGACTTTGGCAAGAGCCGTATAGGGTCAAGGTGCACACTGAGTAGACTGGATGTCCTTATTCGACAGGCTGGGTTTGGCCAATAAGCCATCCCTTCTCTTTCAGTCTAAGGGACAACACATGAAAAAAAAAATGGGTTGGCCTTTGATTAGATAGTTACAGCCAGCCTTGACTGTTTTAACACACAGAGAGATATGCACACTCATAGTGCAGACACCCATCCCACACGCAGAATTTTTTACAGTCTACCAGACTACGTGGTACAATTTCAACCATTTTAAGGCCGAAAAAAATTACATGAGCTTTTTCTTTCTTCTTTTCCAGAGAAGGAAGTTAAAAAAGCCCCAGTGATCCTAGAGAGATTACAAAACTGTGGGGTGCCAGAAGGACATCCTGTCCGATTAGAATGTCGAGTAATTGGAATGCCACCCCCAGTATTTTATTGGAAGAAGGACAATGAAACCATCCCCCCACACAGGGAAAGGATGAGGTGAGCACAGTTTTTTTGGAAAATGGAATGAAATGTTATTTTCATTTGATTGTCTGAAAATGTGAGATGTCAGACTTTATTGCCCCAAACTTTTAATTTATTTTGCATTGAACATGTAGCACTTTTCAGCATGCATAACTCTTGAAGCAGTTCATAACCAACTTTTGAAACATTTAAATATGGCTTCTCTATACCCCATGTCTCTTCCTATAAAACACAATGAAAATGCTTTGGTAAGTATGTGGTAATAAATACAGTTGAAACTCCTTCTGCTGAAATGCAGAATCCCCAAGAGCAGGTAGAACCTTTATTTATTACTACAGATCAACTGTAAAGTCCTGTTGGAGACACACTGCGAAAGGATGAAAATGACGTATGCTAGATTTTGTAAAACACAGTGGGTTGAAAAACTCTAAAATATATCAACATTTACTTAAAGGAACTGCTTACTTAGTATTACTGGCTATACACAATAAGCAAACGTGTGTGAAACAAGACAAGTGGGTCAAATAGTTCAAGAGGTTTTGGGATCTTCCACTGCAGAACATCCAAGGTGATTGATCAATGAGCTAGGTCTATCTCTACACACACACACACTGAGAGAGAGAGAGAGAGAGAGAGAGAGACATAAATAC